TACCCTTGAGTGGCCGCTTGCCTTGAGGGTTTTTGTGTTTGTTTTCCTTTTTAACAAACTTGTTTGTTCAGACATGGAATTAAACAGAACAATTTGTAATCTGTAACCTTCGCGTAACTAACACAGGGATTTCCAGTCCTGGTGACCCTGTGACGCCCCCAAGTACCAAGTCAATAAATTTGGCACCACCTATGTGTCTAACAGCTCTAGTAACTCTGATTTTTATTAGTACTAATAGATAGTGACACAAGATGGCATGGGTCAAAGTTCATTGAGGAGCTCTCTAGTTTAAAAAAGAGCGATTTTGTGAAAAATTAACTCAACCCACACATAAATGAGCTATTAATGCTAGAGCAGTTTATTAAAAAGAACAGTCAACAAGGTGGGCTAGATGAGCTAAAGCACACATATGTACATAGAGTAGGGGGAATGGGAACCCCAGAGCTGGTGCCCCACTCCACTGCCAAAATGGTCCGCATTGCGTCATAGTTTCCTTGGCTGAAGAATATGGAATAAATATGTCTATAAAATAAGAAGTTAAATAAGCTTGCATTACACCTGTGTTACACAGAAAAATTTCATATTGGCCACAGTATTATTGGCTTGGTGGCCCGACTGGCCAGTGCAAATTTTTACTGTGGATGGTCTGTGGACAGCACTGAAGAATGTGTGGGAAGCAGTTCCTTTAAATCATATTTAAAAACTTAAGAAAACATTTGGCCAGCTGTGTGACATTGTCTTCAAGAGTACAGGGCCCACAAAATGCTGGTAAACTCTGCACTGTCAAAACAAATTGCTCAGAGGCAAAATATTAAATATACACTAACAGTCCATAGTGTGTATCAGCTTTTTGCAGCTCCTTTGTTCTTGAAGACAACCTCACACAAGATTTTTTTTGAATAAGTAAAAAGATCTGCTTCCCACATTTTCTTCACTGCTGTCTACAGACCATCCATAGGGATTTTTTTTTCTTCAGACACTTCTCATGTAGCTCCTCAAGATCTTAATGAGTTTAAGCTATGCCTGAATTTCACTTAATGAGCTGTATTGCATTGTGCATTGTCTTGTTGGAATATCCATCATTTACTGTGTTTTTCATCCTTTAAGTGAAGAGACCAGATAAACATTTAAAAAACAGTTGATAAACATCAACACGTATGTATGTGAGAAATTCTTTTTGACTGCTGTTCTGTTTTGATGGATATTGTAGATGGAGTGCATCAGTGAGGAAGAAGAAAAAGATGATGAAAATGACAAAGAACAGCACAGTTTGGAGGAGGAAAGGAAGAAAAATGAGGAAAATAAGGATGAGATGAAAATAGAAAAAGTAGAGCGTCCTGAAGAAGCTGAGACAGTGGAGGAAGAAGCCAGTCTGTCAGACTGTCCAGTAAGGTGCGTCACATAGACACATTAATGCCACAGTTTTACAGCATTTATCAATTATTAGCTCACTTTGTCAGAGTTTACTTGAATTGAATTGGTTTGTGATCACCAACAGCATTCTTCTCTTCACTAGTTGGCTGATGGAAAGCTATCAAAATCTAAGAAGAGGAGCCCATGCTGCTGGAGTGGTGGGCTTTGGTTTCCTGGTTCCTTTGGGTTTGCTCAGAGCATTGGCGCCTGTCGTCTGTGACTGGGTAGGCCTGAGCTGTGCTGATTTTATGTGGATCACGCTCCGTCGACTGATTGAACCGTACTGCTCTGTTTATCATACAGGCTTACCACCTGTATAGACTAACACAACTAAAAATCCAAAACCAAGACATTTTGCTTTGTTCCTTTAGCAGCTGAGTTCTTGCCCTGCAAATTTTGCTTTTACAATTTGCTGAAATTTATCACTTTGCTTAGTTGTATTGATTGTTATTTTGTTTTTTGTACCTGCTGTTCTCCAATATTTTATAACTGTTACAATACCATGTGATTGCAGTGAAGTTAACATATACTAATTGCTGTTCCAGAAACCTAAAACAGAAACTGCTTAGTCATGTATACCTCTAAGGCAGGAAGATGAACAGAGCCAAAGATAATTCCAAAATTACTGAGAAAGGAATGTAGCACTACTGAACTCAATTAATATCCAGAATTAATTGTATCTCAAGGTAGATACTTAAGTTGGAACAGTTCGTGTAAGTCTATAAACACAAAATTACTAGAAGTATTATAAGATTTAATAATTTAGGAACTTCTTGTTACTTGAAATACTGAATGAAACTCTTAACAATACCTGTTGGTCTCATGTAATTTAAATGTGCACTGTGTAAGTTATTAGTAAATGAAATAAAAAATATGACATAATACAGTGCAAAAGTCTTAGACACCTGTCTAAACACATTATTTAAACCGATTTAACTGCAGTAAGTGTGTTTATGAAAGTAGAATCACCATAATTTCAGTAAAAAGTAACATGATTTTTTTCTCCAAAAAGTAGTTAAGCTGTATGCTATGTAGAAGAACACAGGTTTGGGTCCAGATTTCTTGATGCCCCAAGCCACTGCATGGATTTGTTGAAGTCCATCAGCAGCACACTTGATTTAATTGAGGTGTATTGATTAAGCATACCAGGTTTTGGGTGATAACAAATAACTAATAATCCTGGGTTTTCTTGAAGAGAGGTTTGGAAATGGTTAAACAAACACATGATAAACTTAAAACACTCCTTATTATATTATTTCTATTTATTGTAATATTAGCGTTTTTCCAACAAAGCTGACCCTTGAGAATGGTTGATTTGGCCTGCCAGAAAGCTACCTTAACCTAAAATATATAACTTTTATTTAATATATAATCTAATTCTTACTTTTCCTGTAAACTGTATTTTTGAAGTATTTAGTAATATAGTGCAGTGTGAAAAATGCATTTGAAACCTACCTACCTTATTTATTTCTGTTTTGTCTTTTTGGCCCTTGGCCCACCCCAAACATTGTACTTTGGCATGCCAAGTAGAAATGTTTTGGCACCCCTGCTTTATATTCACCTTAATGGTGTATCTTGGCAGTGATACTGATGTGTATAAACATGCCAGCAGCACCGCTGTGACTGATATCACTAGAGGTGGGTAATCCAGGTCCAAAAAGTAAAAACCCTCCCCAGGATTTTGTTCCAACTGCTTGACTCCTCTAATTTGCTCAAACCAGCAGCAAAGGTGTTCAGGCAGTTGGAACAAAATCCTGGGGAGGGTTTTTACTTTTTTGGACCTGGATTACCCACCTCTAGTGATATCAGTCACAGCGGTGCTGCTGGCGTGTTTATATACATCAGTATCTGGTTATGTTAGATGTCAGTGTGACAGCTGTGCTGAGAATGGACCACCACCCAAATAATATCTGGCCAGCAGCAGCCCTGTGGTCAGAAACTGACTAACAATGAATACAGTGAAACGGGTAATTAACAAAATTGTGCTTGACAACAAAAGGACTATAATCTGTAATTGTATTCTTACATACAGAGGTGGTTACAGTAGCCAGATCTATAGTCAGGTATTAGTATTGTTACTGAAATTAAATGTTTACTCAGGCAGAAGTAAAAGACAGTTTGATCCGTAAACGGTTCATTGTAGAGAAGCTTATCAGCTCTGATTTCTTTACAGTGGTGGTGATAGGAACCAGGAGTCACAATGTCTACAACATAAGTGTAGCCATTTTATTTACTGTCCAAAACCACCAGTGTAATGCTGATAATGGCAAAAATAGTGGTAAATATGAAAAGGCAACTTTTCTTTTGGGACTTTTTTGCCTCACAGTACCCTGTATGTGCCAAAACCTTCTCAGAACTATGAAAACCATGTCTCAGGCGTCAGGCAGCTTATTTGTAACCATTTCATGTAATAATTTTCTGTAAGGGAGCTTTTGGAGGCATTAAACGCTTCAGACGTCTGGTTCCTATTACCACCACTGTGAAAAATTCTGACTTTCTCGAGAATAGAGCATTTCACATCAAACCACTCTGAATTTGTTTACGTCATAACCATTTCATTATGTGGAAATTTTATATAAATCTGTGGAATTTCCCTTTAAGTACAGAGTACATTCTTGAACTGCAGCAGATCGTCTTAGTACATCCAGAATCTGTTTGCATGGGAACTGAAATTTGTTAGGTTCTATGATAAAAAGTGAAATGATAAACCTCAAAAGTCAGACATGAGACCAATCACAAAGCAGTACAGATGCTGTCACCAACTTATAGTGGACCATGAGTGGAAAGACAGGGTAAGTTAGGTGTTTATAATGAAGTGGATAGTAAGTGTATGTTACAGAGCACTTTATGTCTCATAAGGTTAGAGATTGGTATTATTTTTTAATAAGGTGTGACCACAGATTAATATATTGAGGCCATGAGTTACAAGGTGGGGCCACAGATTAATACATTATGAGAAACTTAACTCATGGCCTAAATATATTAATTTGTGGTGCTTCAGAATAGTAATTTGGCCTCAATAAGGTGACATAGTGATTATTTTTAATAAGGTGTGGCCACAAATTAATCCATTAAGGCCATGAGCTACTACATTGAGTCTACCCATCACTATACTGAGGCCACAGATTACCATATTGAGGCCACAGTGTACTATATTGAGACCACAAATTACTATGTTTAGTAGTAATAATAATAATAAGCTACAGTTACTATTTTGAGGCCACAGTTTACAAGATTTAGGCCACAAATTAATATATTTAAGCCACAAATGAATATATTGAGGCCATGAATCACTATGTTTAGGCCACACATTACTATGTAGAGGCTGCTGTTTACTATGCTGGGGCCGTAATTTATCATATTGATGCCACAAATTAATATATTGAGGCCACGAGTTATGAGAAACTTAACTCGCGGCCTCTACATATCAAGTCGTGTGTGTAATTTGAGGTATCAATATATTATTTCTTGGCCAAGCCTGATTAAAAAATAATCTCCATGTCAGCTTATTAAGAGCTCTGCAGAATGTCTATGTCTGCAGCGCCATCTAGAGGATCCGTCCGAATAAACCTTAAAAAAAACTCAAAGCGGATGTTGCGTCAACTGCCAAGTCCCTTAGAAGAGCCTGAAAATGGCCGACCACCTCGAAGGACTTTAATCTACTGTTGCATTAATGTAAGATATAATTTTTGAACCCATTTTTCAACATAATTACAGAAATCCCGACCGCGTGTTTTATAACGGTCGCTGCTCGCTTCGTGCTGCTCGGCGGCGGCTAATAAACATTCGAATCGAGGCTCGCGCCGCAACCGGATTGAGCCGTTTTCGAAATAAGAGCCCTTTGTTTTGAATGTCAAAAACTTGCAAAGTTGCCGTCTAGCGGGGCATGAAGATAACGGTTTATTATTTAGAGCGTATTTTAAAAAATAGAAATATTAAAAATATTTAAATTTATCACGAAGCAACGACTCCGTTCGTCGGCTCTGTCGTTAGCATCGCGTTTACGTTAGCTAGCCAACTTTTTACAGGCGGGAACTTTTATTTTTAATCAGCGCGGCTCTCAGACTCGAGACCGATTAGCAGCGATCGATATTTCGAAGTTATTTATATAATTATATAGTTATTTAATGTCTAGGTTGCCAAAATGTACATGAAGCTGAAGTCAGCTTCTTATTCGCCAGCTCCATGTTCGCAATTGTCCCGTTCCACCTTAAATGGTGCAGCAGTTACATTCTGGCGCCTGTTACTGCTGCACCGTTTAAGGTGGACCGGGGAAATTCGAATAAGAAGCCAAACTCAGCCTCGTAAAATGGTCATTTCCTTAAGTTTTTTCAGCGTTAATCGTGGTCAAGGGTTTAGTGGAAGCAGTTTGACGAGTAGGTTCACTGAATGAATGAACTGTGATGTTTTTTAATCTTTTAACTGCAGATCTGGTCGAGTCCCACACCATGAACCGTGTTTCTCACAGCGAGTTCCTCCTGGAGAAGCTGAGAAAGCAGAGAGAAAGAGGGTTCCTCTGCGACTGCACGGTGGCAATAGGGCAAGCTCGGTATGAAGCTCACCATAATGTGCTGGCTGCCTTTAGTGAGTATTTCTCTACGCAATGTATAGATGCTGGAAGAGAAGATGCCACCATAACACTGGATCCAGACTGGGTGGATGGCACCGTGTTTGAGAAGTTGCTGGATTACATGTATACAGGGAACTTGACCATGGACGGGTGAGTACTTCAGCCTGACACTGAAGCACTGGACCTAAAGTCAGTCCTGGGCACCCCATGTTATACATGATTTTTGTGCTTTGCTTGCTTGGGGAGCTAGTTATTTTGTTTAGTCAGGTGTGCTAGAAGAGGCACCAACATGTGTGTAGTGTGGGGTCTGTGCTTAGGAGCCCTTGCACTAAACTCTGTAATATTTGTAATTTAATTTCTTGTGTGAAAACGTCCTTCCTTCTTTGCTGTATGTCCCTCAGGGATGAGGCTCCAGGCATTCAAAAAGCAGCGACTTACCTTGGGATTCAAGAGGTGGTGGCTATCTGTACTCAACCTCAGAAGAACGTCAAAGACAGCCCTGCTAATGCGAGAAGCACAGAAGACATGGATCCACGATCCCCACTGAGCCCGGATGACTATGAGCCGCTGGAGCCGATTGAGGAGGTGGAGGAAAGAGAGAGGCTGAGAAAGGAAGGAGAAAAAAACGGCGGGGAGCAGGAAGCAGCAGCTTCAGCTGATGAGTCCCAGTCGTCTGGCGAGCAACCCGGACAGAGCACGGAGAAGAGGAATAGGAAGCCCAAAACTCGTCTTTATGAGGACGAGACAGAGAAAGAAAGCCCTATTTCGCCAAGGGGAAGAGGGCGAGGAAGAGGCAGGCCCAGAGGTCGGCCTCGGGTGAGGCCCTTATCTTGTGATAGAACTGATTTTGCAGCAACTAAGGAAAGTTCAGCTACGCAGAGCAGCGTAGTAAAGAGAGGAACTGGAAGACCAAGAGGCCGTCCACGGATAAGGCCATTGCCATCTGAAACAGCAGACTCTACTAGCACTGAAGAAAGCACTACAGTAGCAAACAATAATGAGATGGAAGGCACTGAATGTGAAGGACCCCAAACCACGTCTGAACCACCCACCGAGTCTGTCAACCCAGATGGAGAGACAGAGGAGGTAAACACAAAAGAAGGAGGAGAGGCTGTAGAGAAAGATGAAGATAGGACAAAGTCAGAAGTAGACAACACTGAAGAAGTTGTCGTTGTTAAACGAGGGCGAGGTCGACCGCGAACCAAGCCGCTGCCTTCCGAGGCGCCAGATGCGACCAACGCTGAGGAGGTTTCTACACCGATTAAAGAAAAGGAAGGAGCTGTGCGTAAGAGAGGTAGACCGCGGGTTAGGCCTCTGCCATCCGAAATGTCTCTGACCCCAGAAGAAGGTGCAGAGCAGGAAAATTCCCAAGAGGAAGAGGGTGATGAAGAGAGAGACAAGGCAAATACAGCCCATTCTGATGCCCTGGATGATGAAAATAACATGGATGATGAGGGTGAGACTTCTTCGGATGTGAGTCCGGCCAAGAAGGTTCGGACGAGTAATCGGAAGAGAAGCCTGAGCAGAAAGCTGAGGGAGAGCCAAGCCAGCAACGAAGAAAATGATGAGGAATGCGAGGAAGAGGGTGCTGATGAATGGGCCGAGGAAGAGGATGCCAAGCCTGGGCAAAGTAAGCTCCGGCCTATCTGCAACATCTGTGGGAACCTGTTCTCAGAGATGAGCAGTCTGCGCAGACACATGCGCATTCACAAGGGGATCAAACCTTATCAGTGCCCGCTCTGTTCACGCTGCTTCAGGCAAGGAAACCAGCTCAAGACACATATGCGAATTCACACAGGTATGTCAAATGTGCAGACTAAAAATGTTCAGAAACTGATGAAAGACTTTGTTTATGTAGCTTTTACCAAGTAAATCAGTGCTGCATCTGCGGAAGGAGAATTTTAGCATTTAGAATTTAAGCATTCTTTTTCATTCATTTCATTGTTGGATTATGTTAATATTTGTTCCGCTATTGTTTATTTCCTCATGCGTGCAGGAGAGAAGCCATTCAACTGCAACCACTGTGATGCACGCTTTGCCCAGAAATGCCAGTTAGTCTATCACTGCCGAATGCATCACGGAGAAGAGAAGCCGCACAAGTGTGACGTCTGCCCTGCTGCTTTTGCCACGTCCAGCAACCTTAAAATCCATATGAGGTGGGTTTCTTTGGTAAACATCAGTTAAGCATAATACATTAAAGCCCCAGGGAACCTAAATCCATGTTTTCTTTCTTAGTATGTTTATCTTCTACAAAGTATGTGCTATGATTAACTTTCCATTCTCTACCGATCGCTGATACATTTTGCTAAAATTCTCTTCTTTTAATGTAAACTGAGTGGTTCTAATCTTGAATAGAACTTATGTAAGCAGTCCCCTCACCAATCACCAGATGTGGTCCCACCCACACAGCTTTAATGAAGTTGTGTTCCCCTACAGTCTCTTTCTAACCTAGGTATTATAACCAAGCTGTCCAGCTAGCTCATCTGCCTGTCGTCTGTCTGTCGCTTTGTGCATCTGTTCGTTCGTTCAGCTAGGCATGCCAGCATTCTCTAGATGTGCATCCAGCAGTAAAGTGAATTACAACTTTACCTTCTTTAAGACATCACCCTGTAAAAGCTGGATGGTTTTTAGTGAGCCATGGACACAGCAGGGTTTACAGTGTAGTGTAAGGCCAGTTTCACTCATTTCTCCCCACTTCGCTTGCGTGGTTGTGTTTAGTTCTGCTTTAGTGCCGTAGCAGGCTGGGAGCATTTGACAAAGGGATGTCAGTCACAAGTGCTCATGGGAATATTAGGATCACATACAGGTCGTTCTCAGATCAGATAAGCATGTTTTAAGCATCTTGTAATTTTTCATTTGACATTTGCTGGGTGTTTAGTGTAACACTTAATTTCAGTATCATACAAACATGATTCTGAAATTAAGTGATATACTAAGCTGCATATTATACTGATGCTGTGTTTCCTGGGACTTTAAGGACACTTTTAGCGCAAAAACATATGTGTTTAAATTTTTTTCAATGTTGATCCTGATATAGGACGCACAGTGGGGAAAAGCCTTATGAATGTAGTGAGTGTGGCAAGCGTTTCACCCAGGCCAGCACTTTGATGTACCACAAGCGCCGACACACAGGGGAGAAGCCATACATCTGCGACACGTGTGGCATGTCCTTTGCTGTTTCCAGCTCACTGATCTCACACTCCAGGAAACACACAGGTAAGGAGAAAGGACAAGGGTGTGAGACAAGAAAACTGGAAGGAGAAATTTAAGGGTTTAAATACGTTATATGACCAAAAGTATGTGGACACCCCTCCTAATTATGGAGTTCAGGTTTTTCAGCCACGCTCGTTGCTAACAGGTGTATAAAGTCAAGCACAAAGCCATGCAGTCTGCATAGACAAACACTGGCAGAACTGGTCACATCTGAAGAGCTCAGTAACTTTAAACCTGGCACTCTCACAGGATGCCACCTTTGCCAGAAGTTAGTTCTGTCCTGTTAGGTCTGCCCCGGTCAACTGTAAGCACTATTATTGTGAAATGGAAGTGTCAGCCATGAAGTAGGAGACCACAAAAACTCACAGAACAGGGCCGCTGTGCGCTGAAGCATATTGCGTGTAAAATTGCTTATCCTCTCTACACATGAAGCTTTATGAAATGGGTTTCCATGGCCAAACAGCTGCACACAAACCTGAGATCACTGTGCATTGCCAAGTGTCAGCTGGAGTGGTGTAAATCATCCTACTTAGTGGAATGTGCAGTGCCAACGGTAAAGTTTGGTGGAGGAGGGATACTGGTCTGGGGCTGTTTTTCAGGGTTTAGGCTCCGTCCCTTAGTTCCAGTGAAAGGTCATGTTATCGCTACAGTACACAAAAACATTTGAGACAATTATGTTTCCAGTTTTGTGGCAGCAGTTTGGAAAAGACCCTTTACTGTTCCAGCATGACTGAGCCCCTGTGCACAAAACGAGCTCCATAAATGCGTGGTTTTGTGGCGAGTTTTGTGTGGAAAAAATCCAGTGGTCCATGTAGAATTCTGACTTCAACTTCATTGAACACCTCTGGGATGAACTTGATCGTCCATTGTGAGCCAGGCCTTCTTGGCCAACATCAGTGCCTACCTTTGAAATGCTCTTTTGACTGAATGGGAACAGATTCCCACAGACCGAATCCAAAACCTTGTGGGAAGCTTCCCAGAAGAGTGGAGGCTGTTAAAGCTCCATATTAATGCCTATGGTTTGGAGTGGGATGTCCGACAAGCTCACAATAGGTGTGATGGTCAGGTGTCCACATACTTTAGGCCATATAGTGTATGTTGGCAGTTTTGTGTACCACTGTTTGTTAGTGAATGTTTAGGAATGGTCTTTTTTATGATTTTTAGGCGTAACCCCTTATATCTGCTTGGACTGTGGGAAACCCTGCTTAACATCTGGGGAACTTAGGAAGCATATGGACATCCATAATGGTGAGTCAGAAGATTTAAATTAAACATATGTTCTGAAGTATAGCTTAGTTTTTTTTTTTATGTCTGTCTTTTATTGTAGCATAAGATGTGCTAATTCATGTATTTCTCGATTTAGGCTCGAGGAGAGTGATCTGCAATATATGTGGAAATACTCTCTCAGACATTTATAGCCTGAAGAAGCACAGAGCTTTAAAACATAATGGTATGTAGGGAGACCAGCATGAGAGAAAAAAAAACGTAGTATTTAGCATATGTAGCATGTATTAGTATTTGTGTGTGTGTGTGTGTGTGTGTGTGTGTGTGTGTGTGTATGCATGTATATGCACCTGCACACACAAAGTCACAAGATTTATACTTGCTTTCTAATTGCTTTTCAGCTCCTCCAGAGCAAGACGGTGAGCCACCGAAAAGTGAACCGATCCAGAGTCCGATCAACATCCCAATTGACCACCAAGGCCTGATAGCCCGAGTGCGTTCTGTTCTAGCCGAATCCCCGGAACCGAGTTTTCCAGCAGATTCGGCACTGGCCACGATGCCCTCAGAGACCTCGATGATCATGCATCAGACGGAGAGCCCAATGATCATCCAGCATTCAGATGCTACAGGATCACCAATGATCATCCAACATTCAGATGTTTCGGAGGCACCAATGATCTTCCAACACGCTGAAGCTGCAGGAGCACAAATGATCTCGGGATCGCCGATGATCATTCAACATGGAGACTCTTCAGAGGCCTCAGTGATTATTCAGCATGCAGAATCTGCAGAGACACCAATGATCATTCAGCACGGAGAATCGGGTGAGACCCCAATGATCATCCAGCATTCGGAGGCCTCAGGACAGCCAATGATCATCCAGCATTCGGAGGCCTCAGGACAGCCAATGATCATCCAGCATTCGGAGGCCTCAGGACAGCCAATGATCATCCAACATTCGGAGGCCTCGGGACAGCCAGTGATCATCCAACATTCGGAGGGCTCAGGATCCCCAATGATCATCCAACATGACGAATCCTCCGAAACCCCAATGCTTATCCAGCATGGATCAGGCTCGGAGCAAGTGAGATATGTTGTACAGCAGTATGAAATTCCTGGGTCCTCTGAGATGGAGCATGCCCAGATTGTCATTGTTCAGACTATTGATTAAAGCGGCATCTCATACCTCCGTATGAAACATCTCTTTTGGGGAAAAACATCTGGTCTTTATGGCTTAAGTTTCCTGTTGCTATGTACAGTAGTTTAGGGGCAACACAATATCAACTGCCCCCCCCCCGCCCCCTACAGTCTTCAGTGTACTACAATGTGAGGAAGTCATTTTATGTATTTTTTTTTTTATTGAAGCTTTTCAATACTGAAAAAGTAAGATTCCAGAAGATATTCCCAATCATACATACGATGGTGTCATACACAGTGTGGTTTTATATTGTATGATTTTCAACAGTGTAAAGGCATCTGTTAGCTGCAAAAAGAAGGGATGCTTAAGTTAATATTAAGCTGTTTAATAATGTCCTGCAACCTGCTATTGACTCATTACTACTTCGTATAATTAGAGTTTTGTTCTGTTTTGAGATGGATAAACATGACAAAATATCACTTGTGTGTGAATTTCTTGCTTATGTTTTGAGGAAAAATTTTGTGCAGTTGTCTTTTAGAGCTCTGAAATGTAACGCGTAGACATACGTAGCCTGTTACATGTGATTTACAACCTAAACGTGAACAGCTTACGCTATTCATACAAATTAAATTTAATTTCATACTCAAATTAGCTTTATCTAGCATTTATTTATGGTTTGGATTTTTTGACCGCTGGTGTTATTACACGCTACTGCCAGAAGAGGCCGCTGTAGTGCTGTTGCTACAGCAACGGGAAAATAAAGATGCACACTTGTTTGAAGTCCGATTCTCCGAGTTTGCTGATCTAGTGACCAGCATGGGCAGCCTGGAGGGTGTCTATATGTCCGTCTGTGATGACCTTCATCTGTCTGCAAATGTCTTTATTTCCCAAGTGCTGAAAGAGACGCAGAACTGCGGCAGGTCGGTTCTCTGTGCATGTTGTTGTTGTCATTGGAGTTAATGGAGGTGAGCGAGCTTGGCGTGGCTGCAAGTTTCTTGTGTTTTGTTCACTCTTTCCAGCTCTATTTCACTCAGACTGGCAGGAAACGAGCGCCTGAAGGAGGTGATCAGACTGACCGATAATGACCTCCTTGTTTTGTCGAAAACGCTTCGCAATGATCTAACAGTGAAAGGTAGGTTCTCGCTTCTGAGTTCATCTTTATGCACCGGTCGTGATTAATCACCATTCAAAAAGCCTATAGTGTTTACTGAGGCTGAAAGGGGAATTCCACCAATTTTTCCAAAATTCTGAATAACTCGGTCTTCGAGATGTAAGCAGTCATTCAGAGTGGCTTGACGTGAAATAGTGCATTTCATACAACAGTTAGTTCCGGCCGCGCAAGCTGATTGGTTGAGAGGCGTTTTAACTGCTGTTATTTCGCCATAACATCACGGGTTTTTCACCTACACTATCACTCCGCTGAGGCGCCGTTGCTAAGCAACGAGTGTGATAGCTATAGGATATGATCAAGCCATTTGAACGTTTTTACTTCTTACTTTGCCACAAACAGAAAATTGACACTTGTAAGATCACATTTGACCGACAGCCGATTTGGTCAGACTCTGAAGATGAGACGACACTAAATTCCCAAACTGTCATCACCACTGAGCAGCTTTTCAGTCGGCAGCTGTGACAGAAGAACAGCTAAACAACCTGGAATCAGCCAGAAATGAGCCCAGTACCATTCGCCAAACGTTTAATCTGATCTTCAGAGTCTGACCAAATCGGACTGAGCCATACAACTGCCGCAATAAAAACAAAAAAGCTGCTCAGTGGTGATGACAGTTTGGGAATTTAGTGTAAGAAGCTGGAGAACAAACTGCTGTCTGTGCAGTGAGTGGAGCTTATTACTCTGACGTAGCAACAAACTGCATGTTAAGGAACTATAATTTGGCGGAAGGAACTGCGAACATTAAAGCATATTAAACGCCGCGTTCACGGCCCAATTTATTAATTTCTCACTTTATTTATTTAACTGTTGTATAAAAGCAATAGAACACGAGAGTGAACGTGTTATCGCGAAATGGCATCATGGCTGTGATGATCTACGGCGACCAAATCACTCATTTCTTTACAGTGGTGGTGATGGGAACCAGGAGTCACCAGGTCTACAACACAAATATAGCCGCTTTATTTACCATCCTAAACCACAAGTGAACCCACACATGCCTCCTGAGTTTATATATGTGGTGCTGATGGTAAAAATAGTTATAAATCTTTGGGGACTATTTTGCCTCACAACGCCCTGCATGAACACCTCCGTGAACACCTGATTAAAGTACATTTAAGGCCTAACTTTACATTAAAACAACGACTCCGACATCAGGCAGTGTATTCATAAGCGTTTTATGTAATAATTTTCTGTGAGGGAGCTTTTAGAGGTAGATGTCTGGTTCCTATCACCACCACTGTGAACAACTTGTCTCTCTGAAGTTTCTCAAGAACGAAGCATTTCACACCAAACCACTCTGAATGACCGTGTTTGCATCTCAACCGTCTATTTATGTAGATTATCGGTGGAGTTCCCCTTTAATAGTGCTCCGAGTCATAAGAAAAGAAAAATGAACATTTAATGTCATGTATAAAAAACGAAAATCAGTGTTTTTCAAGCTTAAATATACTAAATTAATGTTCATTTATATATAATTTAAAAAAATAATTTAAAGAAAAAGGTATGTCTTTAAAGAGTACACATAGATCATTCACAAATATTACAAAATAAAAGTCGTTCTAGCATCAGTCATTTGCCATGCAAAAATGTGTCTGTTTCCACAATATCACAACATACATTAATTTAATATGCAAAAAATTAATTTGCAGAAAAAAATGTTTTATATGCTATGTTTTGCTTCCCACCCTGTCACACTGACTTAATGTTTATCGTTAAAAATAATGTTGTGCCTCATTAAATGACTTTTGATTTAATCCGTCAGGACTGTTCTGTTCAAAAGCTGGTAAGCTCTACATTTATTCAGAGTTGATCATTTGTTGTTTTCCTTATCCTTAACTGGGTCCGTAAAGCACACGTCCAAGCCATTACACAAAATATATAGAGAAAAGTCCTGACCACTGAAGAACAGGGTAAAAGGGGGCTAACAAAGTATGTAGAGAAACAGATGGACTACAGTCTGTAACTGTAGAACTACAAAGTGCACCTATATAGTAAGTGGAGCTGATAAAATGGACAATGAGTGTAGAAACGAGGAGGTGGTCATAATGTTATCCCTGATCGGTGTATATCATCAGTACTTGTAGAACACTGGCCAACTATACGTTTCATTATAATGGCAGCAACATTAGTGGCCTTCAACTGGGTTTATTGTAATACAGTATGTAACATATTGAATAAAAGTCACTGTATTCACAGTTTTTGATAGTATTTTTAAAAAGGCGATATGAGCCGAGCTGAACTCTCAGATCATTAGGAACTGGTCAGTTAGTCCTGTCGAAGGTGAAGACTAAACATGGAGAAGCAGCGTTTCGCTACTATGCTGCTCTTAAGGGGAACCAGTTGACAGAGAGCATTAGAAGATCCCTGACACTGGACACCAGGCTGAAAACGTTCCTGTTAGAGCAGCTTTCAGCTCAGTTTAAACACTGTTAGCGTCTCTAACCCCTTTTCCTCTGTGACGGCACTTTATTATCCTGATTTAATTTCTAATTCTCATTTGTAAAGCAATGAAACTACCCAGTCACAGACTTCTTTACCTCCTGAGTAACTTATAGAACTGCACTGGAACCTCTTAGTGCGTCCAGCATCTGTCAGCTTAGGAACTGAAGTTGGTTAGAATATATATATATATATATATATATATATATATATATATATTATGATATTACCCTCTACTGCACGCATTGTGAGAGCAATTAAAAAAAAATTGATTAACTTTTCTTGCATTAAACGGGCCTGATTATGAAATTTCAAAACATTTTTTCAAAAAATAATGTGTGCAGGGGTCATTTTGGGGTATGTTGCCTTGAGGCAACATTGTGCAACAATGGGAAGAAATTCCCTGAAGTGGCTTGTGACTGGTCAAATCCATTGCACAATGTTGCTTCTAGGCAACAAACATATTTCTGCAAATTCTCATAATAAGATAAAGATGCTGAATGTTAAAAAAGAGGTTTAAAAGTGCCCACTAAGAGAGAGTATGACCAGGAACATGCTTTTTACTGACTTCCTCAAACTCTTCCCTTTATTGTTAACCCCGTCATTGTCTTTAAATATGGATAATGTTATTGTAAAGTGAGGAAAATGAGTTTGTTGCCCTGAGGCAACATTGTGCAATAGAGGGTTAAATGATATGAAAACTTTGTAAGTCAGACCATTCGCAAAGCAGTGCAGACGGTGTAAACAACACTACTTTAGGAATTTAGCACAAAAGAGGAATTACTAAAGTAACAGTAATGACTAAAATGTAAGGAAGAAATATTCTCGGGTAGAAGTAATCAGTGTTGTCATAAGTGTAGTATAAGTGTTATCATATGAAAATACTCAGGAAATAATAAATCCATCAAAATATTGATTGAGTACATATACTGTCACTGAGTAAATGTAACTAGTTAGTGTAACTTCTACTTCCTCTGCTGAGAAGTACAACCCTGTCACATTGAACCCTAATCCAGTGTGAAACGTGCGTGCAAAAATATTCTTCCATGCCTCCGTTATCAGTTTTTCAATACTAAATTACATGACATTTCTGCAAAACATTCATTAAAGACCAGCTTTCTCTGTGTATTTTGTGTAACGGGCTGGACGTGCTGTGCTTTAACATTGCCAGTGATGCAAGCAAGCAAAGTTTATTTATAGAGCGCTTTTTACAACAGGTGTTGTCACAAAGCAGCTTTACAAAGAAATCAGCATTACAGAAAGAAATCCGGGTCCGAGCCCCCATGAGCGTCGCCAGTGGCGACAGTGGCAAGGAAAAACTCCCTAAGAGCAAGAGGAAGAAACCTTGAGAGGAACCAAGACTCAGAAGGGGAACCCATCCTCCTCTGGTCAACACCGGATAGTAAACATTGTTAGTACAAAAACAGGGAAAACAGGTGGAGCAATGATTAATATGATTAGATTAGTTCAGCGGCGGCAGCATCAGTGGGGTCAGGTTGTGAGGGTGAGGTTGCACGGCGTTGTATAGCACGAAGCTCAATGGTGGTCAAGCTGGTCCAGAGGGCTGGCGAGCAGTGGCACCCGACCAAAGCAGAAGAGGCAGCAGCATCAGAATGAACAGGATGGGCAACTGTTCAACTCGGCAAAGGAAAGAAAGGAAAAACGCACAGAGAGTCAGTTCTGTAATGGGTGTCAGTTCTGTAATGGGTGACTGATCACAGATTACAGTGTTAGTAGAGCAGCAGAGACTCTGGCAGGTATAGAACTGACAGGGAAAACTAATTACCAAAGGTTTGACTATACAAGTAAGTTTTTAGCCTAGACTTAAACACTGAGGCTGTGTCTGAGTCCCAAACATTAACAGGAAGACTATTCCAAAGCTGGGGGGCTTTGTATGAGAAGGCTGTCCCCCCGACGTAACTTTATTAATTCTAGGTACTAATAGTAAACCAGCACCTTGTGATCTAAGTAGGCGGGATGGTTCATAGTAGGAGAGAAGTGGAGAAAACAATACATTTTTCAATGCTGAATTCAAGCTTTTGAACTTGGCACTTACGATCCATCACATCACTCATTGCGACTTTTGTATGGCTAAGTAAGTCGGAGTTGAGGAGGTGAGGCATTTTTCATGTGCAGTGTTGATGTTAATGATGAATTGATATTTTTAAGCTCGAAAAACTCTTATTAGCATATTTTTCACGTTTTTTTTTTCCATAAAGCAAAAAATTGTCATGAATTTCTCAGATGAATGCTGTACTGGACATAAGTTCATTTCAGTATCCCTGTTCAGCTTTAGATCTGAGGTATAACTGGATCTCAGATGAGGGAGCTGGACATCTGGCTGATCTCATTCAGGTATTTTAAATAACTGTGCTGATCTTAACTGCTGAGTTTCTGCCACAAATCTAAGTGAACAGCCACACCTGTATGAGCAACGTTCTGTTGCAGGAGAACGTGGCCCTGCAGTCGCTTGATCTTATGTGCAACAGTATAGAAGTCGAGGGAGCCGAGCGGATTGCAAAAAGTTTGCACGTAAGTATAAAACCCTGTTTCCTTTCATTAGTACTGCAGTGTAGCCCAGCTCATCATATTCCTCCTTTTTAATAACGTTATCATTACATTTCTTTTATATTATTAAAAAATGGGGTAGATCATATAACTTGACTACACTTGAGATGCTTGAGTTCCTTTATGAACCCTTGCTTATCTTTTTGTATTTAATTACATATTTTCCTTTTTTGACTCCCACTGGTAACTCGCTCTAAGTAGGACCAATAGCTCCTCAGCTACCTGGAACACATCACACTGTACCTGAAATATTATGAATAAACTAAACATTATATAATTAATATATATATATATATATATATATATATATATATATATATATATATATATAGAGAGAGAGAGAGAGAGAGAGAGAGAGAGAGAGAGAGAGAGAGAGAGAGAGAGAGAGAGAGAGATTCAGTTATTTGCATAAGTATATAGGTGTACTATGTATGTCTACAATTACAGACTGTAGTCCATCTGTAGTCCACCTCAGTGTCACCAACCAAAAATATCCAGCCAACAGTGTCCTGTGGGCAGCGTCCTGTGACCACTGATGAAGGACTAGAGGATGACCAGCACAAACTGTGCAGCAGCAGATGAGCTACCGTCTCTGACTTTACATCTACAAGGTGGACTAACAAGGTAGATGTGTCTAATAGAGTGGACAGTGAGTGGACACAGTGTTTAAAAACTCCAGCAGCACTGCTGTGTCTGATCCACTCGTATCAGCATAACACACACTAATACACCACCACCACGTCAGTGTTACTGCAGTGCTGAGAATGATCCACCACCCAAATAGTACCTGCTCTGTGAGGGACCATGGGGGTCCTGACCACTGAAGAACAGGGTGAAAGGGGGCTAACAAAGTATGCAGAGAAACAGATGGACTACAGTCTGTAATTGTAGAACTACAAAGTGCACCTATATAGTAAGTGGAGCTGATAAAATGGACAATGAGTGTAGAAACAAGGAGGTGGTCATAATGTTATGCCTGATCGGTGTTTATACACATGGATACAACAGTGGTTTCCCTGTCCAGGCTCCACCCCTTTCTGATTCTAACTTATCTTGTATCTTGTCACCTCAACTCCACACCTCTGTCATCAGTATCACCTGTGTGTACTCTGTGACTCCGCCCTGTACTCCCAGCTGCTCCTCATTCTCTCTCAGTGAAGCCTTTCGTTTTCCCTCTTTCCTTGACGTACACTGTTGTTGGTACCTCTAGCATTGTTGTTTATTCTCCTTTTTGGTCCATTTTTCTCTGTATTTAGCGTGCAGAGATTATGTTTGTGTTTGCTCTGGTCTTTTGGATTGTTCAGTTTTTGTTTTTTGTATTTGTCCCCACATGATTTCGAATAATAACTATTAGATGAGTAAGTAGTAAGTAAAAATGTAAAAGTTTTAGATGTGTCTAGAATGTCCAGCAGAGCTGCAGAAGACACTAAAATGACTGAAATCTGTACAGCATCAAGAATGAAGATAGAATAAAATTAACATCCAGAATTCATCACATTTTAAAAGTGGTGATCACATCTTAAGGCAGATAACTTGACAAAAAATATAAATGTAAATAGAAAATTGCAGTATATTATTTTTTTATAACTTCTTGTTTCCAGAATTCTTGATATATTGAATAAAACATCAAAAATATCTTATTTACCTATATAAAAAACCTTATAATAGTATAAAGTTTGTAATATTTGCAATTGTATAAATATTACGTTGTCATAATTAGTTAATATTGTATATACAACAACAAAAATGTTACTATGGCAAGTGATCTTTTGAATGGTAGTGTATATGATATGTATATGATATGATAAGTGTATAATAATCCTGATAATAACGATGATGCGATTTCTTTCATCAGCAAAATGCAACCTTGAAGAGACTGAGAATGACTGGCAATAAGATTGGGAACAAAGGTGCCATGCACTTTGCCAGCATGATGCAGACCAACACCACGTTAGAAGAGCTGGACGTGTCTGACTGTGATCTGGTAATTCAGCTGAAGAAAGAAAGTGCAGGGAAAGCACTGCTTTGCACCTCCGTCATTCATTTTATAAGCCTGAACGTTTTCATTCTTTGACATTATTCTGTTCGATTCTGCAGGCGACACAGAGTCTGATTGCGTTTGCTATCGTCCTTAACAACAACAGAAGCATTCGCTCCATCAACGTCAGCCGACCGCTTCTCTTCAGTCTGCAGGTATGAATGGCGGTGCTCCTCTGACACACCCTGACTCGCGTGTTGGTGTGTGAGGTGGATAAATGCAGGTTTGGTGTATCTGACAGGAGGAGACTGCAGTCCATATGGCTCGGATGTTGGCAGTTAATCAGACCTTGAGGGAGCTTCACATGGGAAAGCATGGCATGACTGATTCTGGTGTTGAGAGACTGTGTGAAAGCTTGATGATAAACCGCACTCTGCGGTACCTGGATCTCCGCTGGTAAACACAGTTGCATGTGCTACAGCTGAAATTCTGTGATGAGTGTTCTGGATTATTCTTACACGTTACACTCTCAAAACAAAGGTGCCAGAAAAAAATCTCTTTGGAGCGATGCTATAAAATAACTGCTTTTAATGGCTCTTTCTCCATCTGGAGTGGGAATTCAGGTGGATACATTTTTAAAAAATCAATTTATTTCATCCCAAAACTAAATAATCTTAGTGTGTCCATTAACATCTCCTATTATCATATATGCATAAAGGAGAGTTTAATTCCAAACATATTTTACAGTCACTGGTGTTGTATGAATGTGGTGTAACACCAGTGACTGTGACTCCAGTGACATTCTGGTTAAAACTGAGGATTCTGTAAATTGGCTGACTCATTAGCCGTCAGGTGACCTTGTGTAACTATTTAAAATCAGTGATAAAAATGACATATATGGCATTATTTTGATAAAATCTTAATAACCCAGCCATTAAAGCACAAAACACTGGTGACGCATATAAGTTATATGCTACCTGATAAACAAAATGATTAATACATTAATGAAATATATATATTTATATTATTAATAAATATAATGAAATCATGCCTTGAGATGCTTCCTCTCTGATGAGCCTCGACCCAAAGAAGCAGTTTAATAAAGCTGAAAATACTGTGTTAAAATATAAGAGTCCTGATAACACCAGTGACCACAATCTCTGTGACAAAAGAATTTTGTTAATATGTTAAGAAACATATTTTTTAAGTGTAGTTTAACATTAATGATATAAAACGTAAACATGAATGTTTTATACCAATTCCTAAGTTAAACCTCCTGAAAATATTGTTTTATATTAAAAATGGTTTATCAAATGTTGAAAGTCGGTTGTGTGACGAGCTGTTTTACAGATGCAGAGCGACTATGAAACAGGATGAAAAGAGAAAAATCAGAGAATCATAAGAGAAAAGTGTTATTTAATCTTAGCTCAACTGTGTAAATGTACATACTGACTTTTGGAGCTGTGCCTAATATATTAAGCATCTTTTTAAGCTCTGCAGCCTTTGTGACACAGTTCCCCCCCTCAAATGGAGAACGACTCTTATTCTCTAAAGTACCTTTCATCAGTTCAGTAGTTCCAATTGAATTCTTTAAAGAACTATTTGTTGAAAGCTGACCTGGCATCAAGTGTGGGGGGAGTGGGCTTAGCCCACCCTGAGACAATCCCAGCCCCACACCCCCACTTTTTTTTCCTGATTTAGTAATGCTGCTTGTTTGAATTTGAATATAAAAAATCAGACACATGCACAAAACCAAACACTTAAAATACTTTAATCACAGATGCTGATTTCATTATTTCTGAGTTTTGTCATCTGTATTTGTTTTGTGGCCAGACAAAATTCTCATGCCCTCTGTGTCATTCCTGAGTGTGACTGATCCCAAGCCTCATTTTCTTAGCCCTCCAATCACTGCTCAGCAAACATTGCTATTCACGGTTACCGTGATCAAGCTTTCAGTTCTTAAGCAGCGCAGCAGCATTTCCGGTGGATACATTTTGAACTGGATATTCCAGATATGGCCGACAACAGCCCGACAAAATAAAGAATACGAACAAAACGAATAAAAACGTCAGCTTGTGTTGCTGTGTCGTTGTTGCGGTTAGTGGTCTGTGAATTTGGTACTTACAATGCTTTTTTCGATAACAAAGTTACATAGGCTGTGCAGAAATGTGAAAGCAAAGACGGGACAAATGTTTTATGCCAACTGTGGCAGTATGCTTTAGCCGAGGATGCTTCACGGTTTACTGTCACTTTGCTGGTATTGTATGGTCAACTTTTCTCAAGCAAGTTACTTTTCGGTCGTGCACATGATGAATATCCCGTCCAACAAAGTTGTTCTGGCGCTGGGGCTGATTGAAGAGTTTATTAGGGAACCAGAACTGGTTCTTCTGTTGCATCACTCCAGTGAGCTCTTTTTTTGGCACCTTTATTTTTATGAATATAAGGCTGTCACTAGTATTTGATTAAACTTGATGCAGTTATCAAAAATATCATCTATTTGAATTGACTTTGTTGATGAATCGGTGATGATTCATTGACATGATAATGACAACAATGCAGACTTTAAATTCTCCTACTGGCCTCTTTGACAGTAAGAAACAGAGCCTGCTGAGCCAATAAACATACATAACCCTAACTAAACGTACATAACCCTTCACTTAAGTATGGTGGAATCAAGGGCTCCCAAGTGGCGCAACCGTCTAAGCGTTGGCCCCATCACCAGGAGACTGCAAGCTCGATCCCTGGTGATGCTACAGCCATCCGTGGCCGGAAGTCCAAGACAGCACAATTGGCCTCGCTCTCTGGGTGGGTAGGATGGTCCACCGTCTCCCCCATCACTCAGCGCGTTCGGCTGTCCAGTGATGTTGCATGAGCGGCAGTTTGAAAAGACGCGGTGGCGCTTCACAGGTCTCTGAGGAAGACTGTGTTAGCCTTCGCCCTCTTAGCGCTGGTGGTATTGTGTGATTGAGGGAGTCCAAGCTAGTGGGTGGAACTGGAGACGACTAAATTGGGGAGAAAACTGGGGAATCTTTACAAGGCCATGCAGGTTTTTTTGACATTGTTTAGTTAAGTCCATTTTTTTTGTTTGGCTTTCTTAAAAAGTCTGATGACTCAATTAATTATCAAAATAATCAGTAGATTACTAACATAATCGACAGCGACAGCCCATTCCAGACAGTAATAAAATATTTAGAGTCATTATGAATATTTGTTTTTCTCAAGCAACAGAATTACAAGGGATGGAGCAAAGCGCTTGTCAGAAGTCCTGAAACAGAACGGTACCTTGGAAATTCTCGACCTGTCCTCCAATCGAATTGAAGATGGCGGTGCGGTGTGTCTGAGTGAAGCCGTTGCGCTCCCACACTGCAAACTCCGAGCGTAGGGTTCTTCGTCTTTTTCAGTCTGAACACTGACTTAAAAATGTGTCAATGCTGTAACTGTTATGTCCACTTCGTTTACTTTGTCCTTTCTCATCAGGCTGTCCATCCTAAGTAATAACATTGGCACGACTGGACTGATGTCCCTCACAAAAGCAATGAATACAAATCCAAATCTGACGCACATTTACATTTGGGGTAACAGACTCGAGGAGCCAGTTTGCGTGGTGAGATGACACGACATCCATGTTCCACAAAATGACCATCAGCCGCTTGTGTAATGTTGGAGTAATAACATGGTTTTTATGCCAAACCAGGCGTTCTCCCAGCTTATTGCTAGCGGGCGTCTGTTGAAGGACCACACTGATGTGTCTCCCTATGAAGTGGACGGCCGATTTTACTTGGCCGAGATATCCCACGGTCTACGGAGGCATTACTACTGGACGCCAAGCTACGGCGAGGACGGAGACCCTGCCAGCAATGCAGCCCTGGCACTGAACACGTCACACTGCCTGGATCTGCAGCCTTGTTGAGCTCATCAGACTGGCACTGGTATCAACCTGATATCCTAAGTCTTTTGCAGCTCTAATAGCTGATCTTTGTATCAAGGTGTGATTAAATCATGTGGATTAAATTTTGCAAGTTTTGTGTTGTATTTGAGACCAAGCATTTGTGTTATTGTTGAGTGGAAGAACATAAATATCTAAATCTGTAAGCATCTGTGTTCAAGGTTTGGAGTCTTTAAAGACACCCAACAGCTTTTTTCGGATGTTTATTCAATATGTCAAAGATTTTGACTGAGTATATACTGTAATTATTTGTTTACAGTAATTTCTGTCACGTGATCTACCTCCAAATTTGTTCACCACTTTTCATGAGACATTGTAGATGTTACATTTATTACACTTCCATTCTATACAGCTTCCTCAGTCATTTCAGAGTATATAGTTGAAAACATCAATTCTGGAATTTTGAACAGTAGTTCAGTTAAAAGGCAGAACTTTTTAAAAGCAAAGTACTCTATTATGCCTACCTCTGATTAAATGTCACTAAAACTACATATCCCAGCAGTCCACACTCTTAACCGTATAATGGCGTAATTTATGATGAAAGAATAGAGCAAATTTGGTTTATGGTTAAGTATGATTCCATGAAAACACCCAAACGTGACTCAGTTTTGTGAAAGTTGCATAAATGAGCCACATGAGACTGCTGGTTTCTATTTTATATGTATTTGCTTTTTTTTGTTAAATTTTTATGCAATGATGTGCAAATCATGTAAACTGTATTTTTAACTTCAGTTTCAATATTTGATATCTTGTCTTTGTACTATTTTCAATGAAATATAGGGTTTAAATTATTTGCACATCATTACAGTTTTTATTTACATTTTGCACAGCGTCCCAACTATTTTGGAAATGGGGTGTGTGTGTGTATATATATATATATATATATATATATATATATATATATATATATATATATATATAAAATAGACTCAGTAGTATTAAATACAATTACACTTTGTTAAAATCACAGTGATAAAATTCTGCAACCTTTAAAATCCATCATTGTAATTTTGCAGCATTTTCCCACAATCCACCCTAAAGCAAGCCATGTAAACACTGCACGGTGGTGCAGCTTACAGAGTAACAGTTTAAAAGGGAAGAAATAGGAATACATCAACAGAATCAATGCGTGGGTCTCTGAGGGTGAGAGAAGTGAGTCTGCAGTGCCAGATTGTTTTTTTAAACAGAGGAAAGCTCTTATACTCTTTTATATGTGTTCTTGCATCTCATCCAGAACTATAAGAGAAGACACAGGGCAGCTGACTTGGGAAAGCGTGCACAAAGCCCTAGATGGAGGGGTGCCAGTAACTGCAACATGTTTTTTTAAGAATGTGTCAGATCAAGCTGATAAAAGATGCCAGTAATTCTGGAGGGTGAGATGGTAAATGCACTGTAGAATAACAGCCTACAGGTTCTGAGTAAGCTCTGAATGTTTTAGTTAAATGCTAATCACGCATATTAGAAAAGGGTGGCCAAAGGCCTTACTGGAGTCCATTAACTAGTACTTCTTAGTAGAAATTACTCATTCAGCAATTCATAATGCAGAAATGCAAATAATCATAAAGTGCTCATCATTCTTAATGTGATCTATTTCTTTTCACAATTTATGCATAATTCAGTAGTTAATAAACAAATTCACTCATTGTGGTTTGGTGTGAGATGCTCTGTTCTAGAGAAACTTCAGAATTGTTCACAGTGGTGGTGATAGGAACCAGACGTCCACCTCTAAAAGCTCCCTCACAGAAAGTTACTACATGAAATGATTATGGATACATTGTGTGATGGTCCTAATATGTTTTTTTAAAAAGAAGAGAGGGGGTGATGTACTGCTATGTGAGGCAAAATGGTACAAAGAAAACCTTTTTTTATATGTTTACCACTATTTTACTCTTATATGCATTACATATAGAAATACAAAAGCTTGAAGACATTGCAATTTCTGGTTCCTATCATCACCACTGTAAATCTGACTCTTAAGTTTCTCTACAGTGAACCATTTCACATCAAACCACTCTGAATGACTTGTTTACATCTCAACAACTGAGTTATGCAGAATATCTGAAGAATTGGCTCCACTTTAAGAAGTTGCACTAAATGAAGGACAGTCTGTCCAGTCTTCCATCATGCATTGCCAGACTGTGAACATAAGAGGAACCTAAAGGAATGTGCTGGAAAGAAGCCAAGTCTATCCATGTATAATAGATGATGTGTGCAACATTAATGAGCAGCATTAATTGCCTGAAGCACATCAGCTTTAGCTTTCGAGTTTTTTTTTATCTATGTATTTGTGTTTCTGTTGTAAATCTATTGTTTTTACTGATTATTCATATTGAACCCGGTAGATTCCGGCCCGGGGGTGTGGGGGGGTTTATGGTGTGATGTAGCTGTGAGGATCAGGAAACCTGGAGAAAATAGAAAGACTTTTAGAGTAGCGGGAAGACAAAGTCTAGAAAATCTTCAAGGAAGGATAAGAGGCCACCATACAAACAGGAGAAATTAAATTCGATCATTTATTGACCAATGGTGCAAATCATGCATTGGTATGAATGGTAAGCAAATCTTTATTTTCTATTAATGTTAACATTTGTAATAGAATAAATAAATGCTCCAAGAAATATCATAGCTACTTGGGCTGGGTAATATGACAATATATATCGTTATCGTTCTAAATTATGTCGCAATATAAAGCATATTGTGTATATTGTCAGTATAGTTGTAGAACACTGACCAACTGCATGTTTCACTATAAAGAGAGCAAAATTAGTTCTGTTTAACTGGACTTAGTGCAACACAACATGCCAAATTTTGAATTAAAATCATTGTGTTCACATTTTTGAAAATTTAGTTGTATTGGTTATTTTTTCTCAGTTCCAACTGATCAGATGTCTGAAAAGATAAATATTGTGTATCATGAACATTTCTTGAAGTATTGCAATATTATATTTTTGCCATATCACTCACCTCTAATAGCTACTACAGTGCTGTGCAAAAGTCAGAAATCACTTTATTTAATTTCCAGTCAAACGGTCAATAAGTACAAATTATTCTTTTTTTTGCAGTAATTAGTTCTGCAAAGAACAGCTATAAAATAATCCATGTGCATAAGAGGAATGTTAAAGGAAAATACGTGAAAAAACTTTTATTATTTTTAACAAAGCATAGAGAAAATGAGACTCCTAACAACCATGCAAGATCTAACGGACCACCAAAGATGTCCCCATTAGATAGTTAACAGTACTTTCATCTTTGAGAGAGAGGAGAAACTCAAGCTGCCTCAGATCTGAAAACATCCACAGGGGTTTCTGTCCATCCTTCCAGTGTGAGAAGACGACTCAGTGCTATGGGTCTGAAAGGATGTGTAGCTGTTCAAGAAGAACCTCACTGAGAAAAGGAGACGGACACATCAAACAAAGAAGCTGAACAATGGACTGACCACCCCAGAGTCCAGACCTCAACACCACTGAATGTGTTTGATTACTTCAGAAAATGATCAACCAGCTTCTAAGACTGAACTTCGGAGGTGTGGAAAAATATCCCTGCAGATTTAGTTGTTAAGGCTTGTGTGTAATTTTCTATGTTTTTTCCTGACACTAAAAATGAATAACTTACTGACCATTTTGACTGGAAATTAAATAGATGAAGTTCGATCTCTGACTTTAGAAGTATAAAATGGGCTTTTAAGTGCAGCCTTTCCACTTAAAACCCCTTTTCACCTCATGAATGGTTCCTAAGCTCCTCTCCAGGCCTTCCAAACACTTTACAGAAGAAGAGAAAAACATCCTAAACTTTCATCATGAAATGTTCACAAAATGTAAAAATACATTGAAATTTTGATATTTCAGTGATGATACAATGACAAAAATCATCAAACTGTGACAGAAAAATCTGAAAAAGTGCGAAAATAATCTGTATCTTAATCATTTATATACATGCTTTGTAAAATGACATCACCCTCTTCAGTGAACTGGAGCTTATCTTTAACCTGCCGCCTTCTCTACGGGCATGGCTTTATCACACTCCAAGTCCACGTTCCTCTTGCTCAGGCTTTTCTCCAGCTTCTCTCTCTCCCCAGGGCCGAGGGCCCAGCGCTGCAGGGCCAGACGGCGGAGGGAAGGCAGCTGGGGCAGAGCGTCCAGCAGGGCAGGTAGCCAGGGGGATGCAGAGAGAGAGGCGGAGGGCCGCAGGCTAATGTCCAGCTCCTGCAGCTCCTTTAGACCAGCGACTGCCCCAAAGAGTGAAACCCAGCCGCCATCACCCACACTGCCGTTGTAAGAGAGGTCCAAAAGCTTCAGCTTTGACAGAGCCCCTCGCTTGCAAGCAGATTCTACAAGAACATACACAGAATGTACAAAAACCCCCAGTCAATACAAGCAGTAGAAACAGGCCCTAAAATCATATGCATTCACTCAGGGGTGGGTTATATAACAACGTGTTATCGTTATCGTGATAAATGACATGACAATATGCTTTTTTAACCACTTAAATAGACAGGGCCCACCTGCACGCCCAAAGTTTTATTACACACTACTGTGACCTAAGAACAGCTCAGCCAGTTTGCATTGGAGTCCCTGTAGTTACTGAATAATAGGCCTTAGTATGTAATAAGCCTGGGATTTTAAGGGTGAGCATATCGTTGTTGTCGGAACAAAACCTTGTCCAAAATAATAACTTTACAGGAGACGGAAAAAAACATACTTTACTTTTAATGTAAGACTTTTTTTTCCAAGTTATTTTGGGCCGTTTCTTTTGGTCCATTCATCATGAAATTTACACACAATGTGGGCGACAGGAATTTTCGAACTACGTCAAAAACTGAGAAACAACAAAAATGGAGATACAAGGTTTTGTCCCGAAAGCAACGATATGTGGATACTATCAGTTCATCTGGAAACTCTGAACAACTCCATGCATCATGTGAAAGACATTTAGGCCACTTATAGACCCCTTAAACAATAACCAGTGTACAGTAACTGCATAACCTACATAGTAACAAGTAGCTTACCATATTTTATTAATTTATTTTTTACCAAAAATAGAATGTGTTTATTTTTATTTACCATTTACTTTCATCTACCAACATTCTTTC